AATAATAACAGTAACAACAATAGTAATAGAAGATCTCCTACAAGAAGACAAAACCGATCATATAAGCCACATTCAAGGTAAAGAACATGTGGATCTATTCAGTTATTTGAATTTAGCCACATCTGAAAGAAGAAATTACCTTCATATTATTATAGCCTTTAATTACTGCACACTGCAACAAAGGCTGATAAATTTTATAAGCAGAAATGTTAATATAACATATTTCTTCATTCTCTTTATCATATGCACATTGTAATAGAGGTTTTATTCTGGGTCAGTTGANTTCTTCGTATTATCAACATCTACATCGTTGATATGTGTCTGGTATGTAGATTATGTTGCACACGTCAAACCCGATAGTACCGTACCGTACTGTACCGTAGTACAGACAAGCAGCGGCACTCACACAAGAAGACTACATTAAATAACACCTGTACAGTGTGAAAACAAGAACTAGCCGCTCCAGCACTTAGACATAGGGCGAGTAACCCTAAGAATTTTAAATTTTAAATTTAAAATTTAGAGAAAATTTTAAAAGGTTTTAAAAACATCATAACTAAAGATTTTTAGAGTGCTACTACAAGAATATCGGGTTTGACGTGTGCAACATAATCTACATACCAGACACATATCAACGATGTAGATGTTGATAATACGAAGAATGTGACATTGTGTTTTTAAATGTTAAGTTTTAGACTGGGTTCAGTGTGGCAGCAACGTTAAGAGTATACACCTGATGATGGCCGATAGAGGCCGAAACATGTAGTGTAGAAAGAACAAGATCAAAGACATATAAATATATATTGTTTGCACTTAGGACGGAGTTTGTATCATTTATCGTAAAGAACATGTTCATCTATTCAGTTATTTGAATTTAGCCACATCTGAAAGAAGAAATTACCTTCATATTATTATAGCCTTTAATTACTGCACACTGCAACAAAGGCTGATAAATTTTATAAGCAGAAATGTTAATATAACATATTTCTTCATTCTCTTTATCATATGCACATTGTAATAGAGGTTTTATTCTGGGTCAGTTGATTCCCCCACTTCTAACATATATAATAAAGATAGTACATGTAGAATTTTTTGAGCCATATACAAGTGTTCTGATAGCAGGGTTACTTCTTGTAACAGATGTATGGGATGAACTTTTTTCAATTACATACTTTTTGACTTGACTGTGGCACAGGCATTATCTGAAATAATGTAAATAATAAAGTGACTAACTCTATAGTTGGACCTGAATGCTCAACAAAATACAGTCATGGTGCTGTTCCATCTGCCTCCCAACCTTACAGCCTGCCTTCCTAAGATCCATCTTAATATTATTCTGATATCTTATTAATCTTCCAGGGGGTTGCTTTCCACGCAGCTTCTGTCTCCTCCTCTGAGCTATTTGTCCAGACACTTGAAATCTCCTGGGCTTCACTACCTTGGCAGTGCTAGGTTACCTGTGTGTGGCATGAAGTATGTTATTATGTATTGTCAAAAAGTTCATTTACTTCATTCTTGGTCCCAGATTTTTCTGGACATTCTGTTTTCAGATACTTTTAATTTACATTCTTATTGTAGAGTAAGAGACCATATGCCACAGCAGTATGAAACAACTCCAAAATAATAAAGTTTCACCATAATACTAGTGGGAATATTGGAACTGATTGAGTAACATCGAATTTAAGTTCCACATACACATTTTCTTTTAGGTCTCGGTCCAGGTCAAGATCACATTCAAGATCACGATCAAGAAGCCCGCACAATCGCCAGTCATCACAGCAACGGAGTCCAGAAAGGAGTCCAACACCACCATCATTCCTGTTAGTTAATTATAGCCCTTTACAGGAAATAGAGAATCCTGATGTGTAAAGATTAAATGGTTATTTTTATGAATAAATGGCTATGCTGGTATTGTATTGCACAAAAATAGCATGCAGTTCATTTTCAAATTCATTATTATAAGATTGGCAGGATGCTTTAATTGGGGTGTCACCAGCAGAGTTTGTGATGAAGAAGGATGATATCTTTTTCCTGATATGACTGATATGACATGTTCAACATCCTACAGTCATTTTACTAACTTTGGATCCATAATGCAATGCAATGTTATGTTATGTTAATAGAATTTGCATTTATTTTTGGTTGAGCTAAGAGACTCCAGAAGATTGTAGCTGCACTTTTCTGCAGTTTTGCTTACCCATATTTACTAATGTGATGAATTGTGACATACTGTTATATTCTCAGTTTCCTAAACTTTGAAATAATATAAATTGATGTGGCAAGATTGGTGAAAGCATAAATTGGTAGACAGATTAGCTGATGTTGGACAATTGTAAATTGATAAATTTTTGCTTTGTTTTATAGAGGTTCATCTTACAACAAGACAGAGGCCCAGAGGCAGTTGGATGAGAGCAATAAAGGTCACCAGATGCTTCGAAAAATGGGTTGGGGTGGAGCAGGTCTAGGTGCAAAGGAACAAGGCATTGAACAACCCATCTCTGGTGGAGAGGTTGGTATACGGCATGTCAGTTTGAAATCAGATTCTACAACAAAGAGCCCTGAAAAGGTGAAATTCAGAATGTAAGAGAACCCATTTAAGATAACACAAGACATTTTCACACCCTAAACATTAAAATAATTTGATCCTAATTTTTCCCATATAGTTTATGTGTATTTTACTCTTTTAACTTATTTCCCACATAAAAGCATAGAAGAGACACCATGGCCTTAAAATTGTACCTATGTAATATGTTGCTGCTGCTGTTATTGTTGGACCAGTATGTGTTGTAACTTCCCGACAGATTTGCTACTTCAGTTTCCTGCACTTTCATTTCCTTGGAGTGTGCAGTAATGGGATGATGCCTTGGCTTAGCCTTCACTTGGCAGGCATGGTTCACATGGGAAAAGGTTCAGATTTTCTTACTGTCTTCTTCATTTTAATAAATTCTGGTGGTTTCATCACTTAGCATTACAGTAATTGATTATTATAATAATAATAATAGTATTTTAAGCATAATTAACTAGTGACAAAGGCAGGTAATTAACCAGCATGTGAATTAGCTTTCAGTTGGCACTAACTTTGCCAACAAGGGGCAGTCACTTGGTTGGTATAATTCACTTGCGGACTAAAACCATGGAGTTTTTGTTTTGTTGAGCACCACATCACCTTCAAACTAAGTATACCAAATTTCAGTTTTATAATAGGGAGCATTTACATTTAAGAAAAAATGGTGATAGTAAATGTAAACACTATATATTAAAAATACCTTTATTTAATTTGTAACTGATGAATTACAGTATATCAGGCTTTAACAGTAAGTGGGAATTGTCAGAAGACAAAACCTTTATGGAAACAAAATAAGATATTGGGAGTGGTTATAATGATGGATGTATTGAGAACTGTTGTCAGAGAAGGTTTTTTGAAATCAGTAAAATGGGAATGGACATGTGGGAAGGGTCTGGAGCATTGCATTGAGAGATGAGGGAATGAAAAAACTGTGTGACTCATAATGATGCACGCAAAGAAGTTTATATAGGTACTGGCAAATTCTTTAGAATTGGAATGAAATACGAACTCTTCCATTAAATGTGCTCTACTGGGTGTTTTGCCGTAGTGTTAACAGTGAAATATTGGTTTTGGGACACATAGTGAGTTCTGTTATGCCCCAATGATTATGAAAGCAACCAGTAATAAGGGAAGAAATTAAGTGAATTCTATTTGTCCAGCAGGACTGAAAATCATATTCTATTAGTAAGTTTTGCTGAAAGTTCTTGCAGACCATATTTAATCTTTATCATCAGAGATTCAGGAGATGGAACATGTAACACCTACAATGTTCTGACCGTGTAAATAGGTGTACTGGTACTTCTCTAGATTTATATTTGGGAGGTCCCTGGTACCTGTAAACGTTTGGTGAGTCATGTTATTGGTTCTCCAGACTAAGGTTTTTGTGGTTTTCCTTTGGTCTCTCCAGTTGAATACAAGGATAGTACCTTGGTATAGGCCACACCTTCTTGCTTCCAGAACCTTAGTTGTTCTTCATTCTTCATCATCTTCCCATCACATTCTGTGGTATGTGATCTCTGCAATTGAAAGGACATCATTAAATATTCAGAGGCTCAACACAGTCTGCCCAGAGACATTTGAGTTAATGCATATGTTGAGGTATATGTGTACTTCCCTCATTGGTGTCTCCACCTTATTGTGGTGAGAGGGTTTGAGTATGCCAAGGACTGTGAGAGCTATACCAGCGGTAGCGTAGCTACTGGCAGGGCCTCCCTTGCTGGACAGGTTAAAGAGCAGGCATCAGACGAAGAGAGAGACCAAAAACTGATGCCGGAAGCAGCGTCATCAGCAGTGACTTGAAGCACAGAGCAAATGATGCTTGAGATGGTTCAAGTTCATATAGCAACAGGCGTGACCAGAGTGGTTTGAACGCCTGTTGTACTGCGATGTGGAAAGCAAATGGAAAAACTACCACATTATGACTTTTCCTGAATGGTCTCTTTCCAAAAACAGAGATACCACGTATGAGAGATGTTTCCTCTGGAGACAAAACAAACCGGAGGGGCGGATAGAAGTGACGAGAAGACGTAAGAAGATGCTGGATGACTTTGGGGATAGAAGAGGATATTTTTATTTGAAGGAGAAAGCTTGTGATCACATTAAGTGGAGGAACTGTTTGGAAGAGACTGTGGACCTGTTGTCTGGCAGATTACTGGTGAATGAATGAATGTGTACTTTAAAGTTTATGTAGACTATGTAATAGGTGTGAAATACTCAACAACCTGAGTTTAATATTTTTTTCTGTACAGTAATTATAAAGTGTACCAAGTTTGTTGTAATTTTATTGTCTGATTGTCTTGTGGGTGCAGGTCCGGGACAAAGTGGATATGTACAAAGGTGTGGGTATTAACTTGAATGATCCATATGAAAATTTCCGCAAGAGCAAAGGACAGGCTTTTATCAACCGGATGAAGGCTAGGGCAGAGGAACGGTTATAGCAGGCAGCACCTGCCCCACTTGACCCGACTTAAGTCAGGTATGTAGGATAACTGCTGTATAATATAAGGCTGGTTCACAGCATTCTTCAGTCAAAGCACTCAGAATCCAGACATCAAGGAAAGAATGATCTCTTTAGTATGCCAGATATCATAGTTGTTAAATCATGTTTTGTCCTCTCTCTCGCTCTCTCTCTTAGGTAATATTTGCATTTTAGAATACTGGAAATATTTGTTTGCTTAATTATTTGATTCAGTTCTAACAGAACAGAAATTTGTAATATATAAGCTTATATTTTAAGAAAACAATGACATTGTGAGCTGAATTAATTTCCTCGTGTCCTGCAATTTACATCTCCTTTAATCAGCATACAGAACAGTTTCCGTTTATAAGTTAAATATTGTGTGAACTTCTTACTACAACAAAAATTATTAACACTGTCCAGTAGTGGCCTCCGTAGTCTAGAGGTAACGTTCCCATCTCATTACTCGCGGTACGCGGGTTCAAATACCCGGCAGAGGTCGTCGAATTTTTAAGGGCGGAAAAATTCAGGGAACAAGTCCTCCAGGAGGGACTTTAAGCTGTGTGTCCCGTGTCGTAACTTTACGGCCCATAAAAGAACCTCATATCCCCAAAGGGGATCACTGAGCCAAATTCCAGGATGTTTCCCGCCCAACAATAGCCTCTAAGGCCTCTGATAGATGGGGGAAGCATTATAGACACCGCTAAGCAAGTGGCTGAACTTGCTTGCTCAGCGGGACTGATGGTACGCACCATTTATCGGTAGGGTAAAGAGANAGAAACTAATGTTACAGTGTCATAGATATAAAATATTATATCCTTTAACAATTACTAAGATGTGCATGAATTTGTTAAAAATTTATAAATTGTTATAATTAGTCTATTTACAAAGTATTATTTAAAAAACTTTTTGTTAAAATCTAGAACCAATTTGGTTCTTGTCTTTATACTTCTTCTCTTTAAAGGAAAGATGAATGTATTCCACATCATGGTTCTGTTGTTTGATGACTAGGACTGCAAATATATTATGTAGTATTTTTATAATCCTGATTTTATTTGAATGTGTGAGTTGTTTTTTATATATATAATCCTACCTTTAGTGTCGTCCAGTTCAGGCCAAGCTGTGTTGTTATACTGTTCTAACATATGTTGAGTCACATATTTATACCACTTGTGCCTCATGATGTTTTTGTGGGTGTGTACTGATGTTTTATTATGATGTCAAACATAGTATTCTGATTATTACTCTCCTTTGTATGTTTCTGCTCTTCTATTGATTTATTAATTTTATTAAAGTGATAAATGTGGAAGTTTTCTATTCATGAGGTTCCCTTTTTTATCATGCTCAACCATTTCCGTGTCATAAGTCCATACTGGTGGCGTTTGTTTAGTATATGTTGGGCAAATGCTTATTCGTCTTTGTTAAATGTTATGTTTCTTATATGTTCTTTATATCCTGTTGTTAGGTTTCTACCAGAAAAGTTTTTTAAACAATACTTTGTAAATAGGTGGCACACGGTAGTGTAGTTGGTTGAGGCACTATGCTACAAGCTGGAAGGTAACGGATTCAGGTCCTGGCACTGGGGTTGACTCACCCTCTAACAGAAATGAGTACCAGGAATTAATTAAATAATTTTCCTGCAGAGTAAAGCGCAGCTGACGCGTAAGGCTGACAACCTTACCGCCATCTTTGAGCCAGTTGTCTAGATAATGTGGGACCCTCAGTGTCTCACAACCCTATGGGCCTTCATGGCCTGTTAC